CCAGTGAGATACTCAAGAGCTGACAGGAAGCCTCTTTTGCATTCTGGACACTGGGGGGCTCAGTCTAGTGGCTAGCTGTTTTTTTTCACTGGGGAACCCCCTCTTTAAATCAGTTTCTCTCGGTCTTTATCTTGATTCACTATCCTGAAGCAGGGCAGGGAGGGGATCTGAGGCTCACCATTCAGGACACCAACTTTAACTTAATTTCCCCTCCCTCCTGGGTGAGGAACACAGGGCATCTCTCCGTGTTATCAGCCCCATCTGATTTCCTACAGTGCCTCTAACTCCTGAGCCTCCTGGGATTCTCTGGGGCAGCCCACTAGCTTCCCATTATCACCTCCACACCCACCCCTGCATTTAGGTGTTAGTTTTCCCTCTGTTAGCACCATTCTTTTGTTCACCTTCTATCTCTATATATTGTGATTTGGGAACAGTTTGAGCCCCACGTGCATCCAAGTTGGAGTCTGTGCTTCTATTTCTCATTGTTCTGCATGACATTTGAGAGGAGCAGCAGGAAAAATGTCTTTACTCCGACACCTTGAAGCCTCTTAGATCCTCAAAAACTCTGGTTTGTAGAAACCAAGTAGAGTTGGGTCATTTTCCCTAATATGGAGAGAGGAAGTAGGCCCTCAGCTAAAGAATGTTGCATGGAGACCGCCTGGTGTGATATCCACACTCCCCAGAAGACCACACCTGACCTGCAGTCTCCAGCTGCTGCTGCTGAGCACCTTGCAGGGACCTTGGCACCCCCCTCTGGTTTTTATTTCCGGTCCCTGTTTGCAGGCCAAGTCCCAAGCACCAGGAGACCGCAGCAACCTTTCTATCCAAGGGTTCCTAGTTTGACAATAATTAACTGTATGTGGGGTTTTTTGTTTATTTATTTATTTTTGTTACAGATGTTTCTCCTCCATTGACACCCTCCTCCCAGTCTGCACCTCCCCAATATTATTGTCTATGTCCTTGTTTACGCATACATGAGTGTATGTGTTTTGTTAAGTTTTCCGTATCTTTGAGAGATTTAGGGGATTTCCTGAAGCTGTGTAGTGGTGAATCCCATGGGGGGATGGAAGGAAAAGGGCTTAACAAGCCAAAGACCTTCGTAGGAAACGCTTTTACCACGTTGATCTGTAGCTTCTGTTTCTCACTGGCCCTGAGTCAGAGGTGGCTTTGTGGTCCCCGCACCATACCTGCCTAGGCTTGGTGCCTTGTTACCTGACTTTCTGAGCACCACTGTTTACCCTCCACCACTGAAATACCCTTGTCAAGGGTGTCTTGGGTGCCGCCTCTGCCATCATTTATGGATTTTTTTAGCACAAATGAGGCTATTAATTTTTTTTTTTTTAATCCTCACCTGAGGACATCTTTCCATTTTTTGTTCAGATAGAGTGGGAGGGAGGGAGGGAGGGAGGGAGGGAGAGAGAGAGAGAGAAACATGGACGTGAAAGGGACACATCGAGTGGCTGCCACCCACATGACCAACCATGGCCAGGGACAAACTGCAACCAAGGTACATGCCCTTAGCGGGAACCGAACCCAGGTCTCCCTGGACCGCAGGCCAATGTTCTAACTGCTGAACTAAACCGGCCAGGGTGGATATTGATTTTTAATTAAGTGCTCTAGCTATAGGACAAAGGACACAGAGGCTGTTTCTTTTTTTCTTTTGAGTATAATTATTTAAAATTTTGCAGGGGCCCTTCTGGGTAGATACCCCTAAGAATTGAAAGCAGGGTCTCAAAGAAATATTGGCACATCCATATTCATAGCAATATTATTCACAATAGCCAAAAGGTGGAAGTAACCCAAATGTCTGTGGATAAACAAAATGTGGTATATCCATGCAATGGAATACATTTACACAATGGAATACTGTGTGGCTGGTAAAAAAAAAAAAAAAGTAGATCTTATGCTTTGCGACAGCATGTATGGACCTGGAAATTATTATGCTAGGCAAAATAAAACAGAGAAAGACAAATATTACATGATCTCACTTATATGTGGAATCTAATGAACAAAATAGATCTAGAGGCATGGATGCATGGAACAGAATAATAGATCTCAGTGGAGGGGACGGGAAGAGATTAATCCAAGATGATATATGCATGTATGCATAACCCATGGACACCCACAATAGTGTTGGGAAGGCCTGGGGTGGGGTGGGGGTTGGGTGGAGGGGGGAAAATGGGGGACATCTGTAATACTGACAACAATTTTTTTTAAAAGGAAGTATTTTTTTAAAATACTGACAAGAATTTTTTTTGGTCAAGGGCACATACCTAGGTTGCAGGTTCAATCCCCGGCCCCTGATCAGGGTTGTGTAGGAGGCAGCCAATCAATATATCTCTCTCACATTGATATTTCTCTCTCTCCCTCTCTCCCTTCCACTCTGTCTATAAAATCAAGGGAAAAATATCCTCAGGTAAGGATTAACAGAAAAAAAGGAAGGAAGGAAATTCAGACACATGCTACAACATAGGTGAGCCTTGAAGACATTATGCTAAGTGAAATAAGCCAGTCCCAAAAAGACAAATATTGTATGATTCCACTTCCATGAAGGACTTAGAGCAGTCCAAGTCATAGAGACAGAAAGTGGAATGGTGGTTGCCAGGAGCCGGGTGGAGGGGGAAACAGGGAGTTGTTGAATGAGTACAGAGTTTCAGTTTTACAAGAAGAAAAGAGTTCTGGAGGTGGTTTGCACAACGTTGTGAATGCATTTAAAGCTTCTGAACTGTACACTTCAAAATGGTTAAGGTGGTACATTTTGTTATCTATATGTTACCACAGTTTTGTTTTGTTTTTAAATCACTGGAGGCTAATGATCTTTAAAGGATCTTCCCAGAAGCTGCTGCCCTCCAAGTTCTCTTCTGAACTATTGAATCTCCAGTTCTTAGGTTCCACTCTGATAGGGTCAGTTCCCTACTCTGTGGTGAACAAACCAACAAGAAAGCAAAAGCGGGGGAAGGCAAGGAGACAAGGAGGTAAGGTGTTAAGCCTGGCGGATTAAGAAATAGAAAAGTGGTCCCATCTCTCAAGGAGAGGCAACTGTTCTCCATTTGTAACCTACCTGGATCCTAGGCACACAGCCCTTCATGTTACAGATGAAGAAACTGAGACCCAAAAGGGGGAGAGGCAGGCACAGTGGGTGACCGCACAGGGTCACACATCTGGCTAGTAGCAGAGCCTTAAGTCGCAGCCCGTTCTGTGGGGTTTTTTTTTACACCCCCTCACTCTAAGAAATGTGAACTGTGAACTTTAACCACCTGGTGGTGATGAACAGGGCTGTCAGCTTCAGTATCATTGCATCTTGGAGGAGGAAAGCACGACTAGGTGACAGCTGGGTAGAGCCAGAGTCAGACTGGGGCACCACGGGCAAGTAGGCTGAGCTCCCGTTGCTCTGGCTTCCGCACCCCAGGTCCTCAGCACCTGGAGCCCCGCCTAGGTACTCACAGTCAGAGCTCAGAGATGGAGCTTGGTTCCTCTCTGGGGGGCAACAGAGAGGCCTGTGCGCAACTTCAAGAAAGAAATCCCAGCTGTTGGAACGCCACTCCTCATAGCCCTTCTGTGAGGGAGACGTTTCAGGGTTGTTGATGAGGAAGGGCATTCGTAGCATCCTGAAATCAGTTTCTAAATTCCGGTCATTCATCTTCCAGCTGCAACTTCCATCACACTTTGCATTCTACTTGTACACGTATCTAATATTTTTATATCGCCTTACCTTTTTAATTTCATATTATTATGATATTTTATTACATGCATTGTATAATGTATACCATTATACAGGGTGGGGCAAAAGTAGGTTGACAGTTGTGAGTACATGAAACAGTTTATTCTTGTATTATTATTTATTAATTATTGTATTATTTGCCATACAAACAACGGTCAACCTACTCTTGGCCCACCTTGTATTCAATTATATCCTATTATGTATTAAAGGGAAACTTGATACCACCTCTGTATTTGGAAAACCAGGTTCACTTGCCATAAATAGAAGGTAACTATAAAAAGAAGAAATATAATGACAGCAAGACAGTTTTACATTCCAGCTAAATTCCCTTGCCTGCTGAACACTTTGAACCTGAGGCCTGCTCTTTGTTGAAAAGGGAGCAATCAGCAAATGTTAGTGAGGTACTAATTACTGGTGCTTCAGAGGTGATCAGGATCAACGTGGACAAAACGGGACTACTCTCTCACTGTTCACTGTTATTTGATGAATCAGCTGGGTCTCCCACAAGGACCCTGAGTCCACACTAGAGAAAAACACCCCTTTTTGAAGTGTCGCAGGATGGGTCCAGAGTGTTGTTTTAGGATAGTGGATAATTCCATAAGACATGGTCCTCACCCTAGGGTGACACTTGTCAAAAGAGAACAAAAAGAAAAGGAATGGAATGCCCCTGAAGCGCAGAGGCACCTCAGCGCAATAGGTAAACGGTGCCGGGGCAGAGCAGGGTGGCACAGAGAGATGGGCTCAGCAGGAGACCCTGTTGTGGGCAGGTGGAGCCTCTGAGTCACTCCTCTCCACGCTTTTACTGGTTGGGGAGTCACTTAATTTTCGGTTTGCACATTGGTAAAATGGAGATAAAGATTCTGGATACAAGGGTACTGTAAAGACAGAATTGAAAAGTGAGTAAAACAACCCACCTTTTCCACTGTGGGCTATGACTGTCACAGGTAATAACATTGAGCACGATCAGGTAAGTGAGTTGGTGGGCTTCAAGGAGAGAGCACAGGGCGTGCAAAGCTCTGAGGGGAGAAAGGACACAGTGTGGTGGCCAGTGGTCCCCTTCCATCAAAATGCCCCTTGTAACGGGGAGTCAGGGCAGTTTGGTGGCGGCAGAGTCCTGGGCTATAGCCAGGCACCTGAATAGGTCTCACTCCTCCTTTCATAGGTTCGGCTTTTGCAGGAAAACCTGCTGCCTCTGCTGCAGCCAGGCCTCAAGAGACGTGGAAAAATGAGCAGGCAGGCAGTTCAAAGTGGCTCTACTGATGTCCCTGTTCCCTTCCAGGTACCAGGATCATCTATGACCGGAAGTTCCTGATGGAGTGTCGGAATTCACCTGTGACCAAAACACCCCCCAAGGACCTGCCAGCCATTCCGGGGGTCACTAGTCCTATAAGCGATGAGCCCCCCACAGAAGCCCGCCAAAACCACCGGCAAAACAGCCCTGAAGATAAGCCAGCAGGCGGTGAGTGGCCAGGCTTGGCCAGGCTCTTCTTTGGGATGGGAATATGTGCAGCGGAGACTCCTATCCACTGGGGGGAATTCCAGGGAGAGAAGGATGGTGACTGCCCCACCTGTGGGACAGCTCAGAGTCCAGAGAGTGGGGGTAAGGGTCGGAGTGATGGTGGGAGAACTTTCATCAGTACCAACTTTCCCATGAGAGGGGCCCAAGAAAGATGGGAGCTTGATTGAAATAGGAGGGGCTCCTCATAGCAACTTTGGTAAGTGTGCCCCTTCACATAATTGGCCCTAAAGCTGTACCTTGTATCTGCAACACTTGAAACACACCAGGATGTTCATGGGCAGGAGACGACTCTTCAAAGACGTGGTGTACTTGTCATCCAGGAAATTTTAGGTCTACAGGCTCAGAAAGGCATCCCTGGTTGCCTTCTTCAGGGTATTGGTCTGCTAGTATATTCTTTTTTTTTTAAATATGTTTTTATTGCCCTAGCCGGTTTGGCTCAGCGGTTAGAGCGTCAGCCTGCGGTCCGGAGAGACCCAGGTTCGGTTCCCGCTAAGGGCATGTACCTCAGTTGCAGTTTGTCCCCGGCCCTGGTCGGTCGTGTGGGTGGCAGCCACTCGATGTGTTCCTTTCATATCGATGTTTCTCTCTCTCTTTCTGTTCCTCTCCATTCCTCCCACTCTACCTGAACAAAAAATAGAAAAATGTCCTCAGGTGAGGAAATTAATAAATAAATAAATAAATAAATAAATAAATAAATGAATGAATAAATAAATAAATAAGTTTTTATTGATTTTTTTATAGAGAGAGAAACATCGATGTGAGAGACATCAATCAGCTGCCTCCTGCATGCCCCCCACTGAAGATAGAGCCCACAACCCGGGCATGTGCCCTGACCGGGAATTGAACCAGCACTTCTTAGTCCATGGGACAATGCTCAATCCACTGAGCCACACCACCAGACCACTAGTGGATTCTTGATGAACGGGTAGAAACAATGCAACCAGTTGTTTCTGCAGGTTTCTCGTGGCATCTCTAAGTCCTTCTGGTGCCCCATTCTGCCCCCAAGTAATCAGAGCAGGCCCCCGGCAGAGGTGTGTGTGAATGTAGTCTTTGTGGCACCGTGACTGGCTCTGAGCTCCCCCACTGTGGGAGGATGCAGTGTGAGCACTTGCAGACAAACAGTCAGCCTGGAACCCACTGACCCTTCACCCAGAAGGCAGTACAGGCCAGACAGGAAGCAGCTGAGAACTCAGGCTGGGCTGGCTCTGCTGACAGCAGCAGAATCCATTTACCCAGAACCTGCAGGAAATGATTCATAATCACCTTGGGAACCCCACAGCCCAAGACAGGAGACAGTTACCTTGCCTTTCAGACTTGGAAAGCAGTAGAATTGGGGAGGGAAGTGACACAGAAGAGCAATACGTACAGCACCAGGCAGCGGGGTTCCCTGCCGCATATTGAAAGATGGAGAGAAGGGTGAACAGATTCATATGGTTGGTGGCACAGTGCCTACTTTTTGCTTCAAATCAAAGACTGAAAGTTGAGGGTGAAGGTACATGCCTGAAATTGTTAAATCACCACTACTTGAAGGCTGTTCCTCGCCCCCACCTGCATACCCTCTTACTCCCAGTTTCTACAGCTGCTCTGGCCCATAACAATGCAGGGTTGGCCCAATGGTGCCCCAGGTGGCAGCCTTACCCACAATAATGGCCTAGTAGTTTTGCACAGTTGTTGTGATGGGGTGTGGTGGTGAGAGAGGGACGTCATTTTTTGTTTTGCTGAACTAGATGTAAGAAGCCAAAGCTCTTGGCCTTGGACCCACATATTTGTGTAAATATAACCAGAAGAAGAGGCCAGTTGTTTCTCTGTGGGTCAGAGTAGGCATCTTACTATGTAGAACCTTGGGCCTTGCCCAAGAGATGCTGAATGAGACAGTTCCATTAAAAGAAAACAACCTGCCCGGCTGGTGTGGCTCAGTTGAGTGTCATCCCATGCACCAACAGGTCGCCAGTTCGATTCCTGGTCCCAGGTTTTGGGCTTGATCCCCAGTAAGGGTTGTGCAGGAGGCAGCTGATTGATGTTTCTATCTCTCTCTGAAATCAATAAAAACATACTTAAAAATAAAGTAATTAAAAGGAAAACAACCTGCCGAAGCATGAAGAACTTGGGAATTTTAGTGGAAAGTAGGGCAAGGGCAGTGAATGGCTGCTTTACCCAAATAACTTCTTTACTGCGCTAGGATGTGCGCCTAGTAGGCTATGGTATCGTTTTCTTAACCAAAAGTTGGAACACGTGCTCCAGAAAAATTTATGTTTAAGGAATATTTTTCTATGAAATTGTGTTTGTCAATTCACAAGTAACCATCAAAAATAGTAAAAATTATACAAAATCAGGACCATCACCTCTGCTGTGGGAGACCTGGTCCCTGCTCTTCCTTTGGGATTGGGGAAGAGAGGACAGCTGGCCAGGGCACCTTCAGGCCTGTGTTTCCAGGAATACCTAGTGTAGTCCTGCCTCCCTCCCTTCTCCTTGGCAACATAAATCTGGCCTCAGCTCTTCTTGTAGGAACACGGGAATGAAAAGATAACACCTCTCCCCAGCCTCTAACATGTCAGTTCTACCATTTGTCATTGCTCACCTGACCCTCTGTCCTTTCTCTCACCAGGTGACGAGTCACAGTTTGAGATGGACATTTAAAGGACCAGCCGTCAGATCAAGTAATGCCTCTGGGCCCCTCCGGCCCTTCTCCGGAGAGTCAGTTATCATCCTGGGCAGGCACTGGGTGTGGGGTCAACCACCCCAGTCTTCTGCTCCCTCAGTCAGGGCACCTGCTTCCCTTCCTCTTGGTGAACACCAGCAGATACCTCTATGTGCCTCCATTCATGCAAGAGCTGGCACCCCAAGGGGAGTGACTCTCAAGAGCACACACCCTGCAGCCTGGGGCCAGGACATGGACTTGGAGGAGCCCTTCTGAATGATCATCCGGCTCTCCCTCTAAGGGCATACCCACCCCTTTCTTAGGTTGGTGTGCTTGGGGAAGCCCCCGCCCCTTCCCCCAAGAGAGGAAATAAAAGTCACCTTCGCCCAAGGGCCAAAAGTTGGCCCCTGTCTGAGTTCTTTTCTATATCACCTGGATAGCCAACACCAACTACTATCTGCACATTGCATGCAAAGCCCTTTCCTACACATTACCCCATTCGATTCTCACGCTGATCTATGACGTAAGTAGAGTGAGTGCCATCCTCATTTTAGAATTCAAGTTAAAATCACACACTGAGAGATCAGACTGGGTTTGAACTGGGTCTTTGTTGAGAAACAGGTGTTTCCCATCATAGGCTGTGCTGGGGGATGGGTGGCCTTTGACCAAGAGGCAGTGACTGACATTGACTTTACAAGCTCTGCACTCATAGCACTTGTCAGTCTGCTGTTTTGGGGAGCAGCAGGCCTCAGTGGTCCAGTCCCTGGCCTGGCCCTTTCTGCAGCTGAGTTGGAGTCCCCTCCCCTGTGAAGGCAGCTGGGATCCATGTGCCTGGAGATGGTGTATGGGAGGACCTGGCCACAGTGGCATGTTGATTCCAGGCATGCAGCATACCCTTTTTGTATAAAAAGAAGGTGACACTGGAGGGACCACTCCACCAAAGCAAAGACGACATCTAAAGCTCCAACTAGGATCAAACTAGAGATCGGATCAGCTTTCCCAATCTGTTAGCTTTCCATTGAAAGCATCTTACTCTCTCCCTTCTGACATCCAGCCAGAGGTCTTGCCCACCGGTCTACATGAGCAGATCCATTCCTCTTCTTTAGATGCTATATTTCAGGGTTCAAAAGACAAGGTAAAACATCGGCTTCTCTGACAAGAAGAAAGTCGTTCACAAGCTGTGCACCTTTCCCACGGAATCAAGAGTATCCTCCAGAAAACCTCGGTATTTCTTGAGCATCATTCTGGCTGGATGCTGTGCAATAGCAAAGATCTATGACATGGTCCTTGTCCTCGAGGAAGTTAAAATCTTGGGGAGATAACGCTCCCATGGTCCGATTTAACATCTCAGTGTGTGGAGTCTTAATGCCTTTGTAGAGATACTCTAGGAAACCATCCCAGTTTGGCCTGCTCACCCCCTATCATCACCAAAAGCACTTTTTGCAGTTGGGAAAGCCAGTAACAACTGTAGGAGCCCCACATGCTATGAACCAGGAAATACAACAAAGTGTTTTAAGCTATGATGTGTGTTCCTAAAAAGCTTACAACCTGATCTGGACATGAGAGGTTCTATGATTAGTAAAAGGACACTCAGAAATGTCATATGACGATATGTGATTGCCCAAGGCTTGGAGGCTGTGTGGATGCCATGCAGTGAGGGAATCAGAGGAAAAGGGACTTACTTGATAGGACCAGCAGGATTTTAATTTGGGGGGGGGGGGGTGCTTCCTGGATCATGCATGGCTCGAAGTACAGAGCCAGGAGGACAGTTTAGCTGGGGGAGTGTCAAAGCTGGTGGGTTTTCCATATATGCATGAAGAGACTGAACCAGGTTGGTGGAAGTAGGAATAGGCTGTACTGGGAAAGGAGGCTTGACTGCTTGGTGAGGTAGGAGGAGAGCCGTGTCGTGGAGGTTTCTGGTCTGGGTGACTCAGAAGAAAGGTTGGAAAGAAATGCCAGTTGAGGAGCTGCACGGAGTAAACAGTGAGAGGGCCAAAAACAAACTTTGGGGAATGTTGCCAGTGACCATGAGTGGCATATAGGGACCTGAACTTCCAGTAATTTTCCAACCTCCACAGCTGTGGGCATCCCTCCAACTCCCAGGTAGCCAGGAGAGGGAGGCCATCTTTTTACTGGCACCCTCTAGTGTGACATTCATCATTGTTGAAACAACTCAAGGAAAACCCAAGGACTCGTGGCCAACCAAGAAGTCCAAAGCTCTGGAAACCAGTACTTCAGGAAGAGCAGGGTTCACTCATAGACCCAGAAAGTGATCTTTTCCAGCTAAATCCAACCTCATTCTGATTTAACAAGCTTTTCCTAAGCCTCTTTTTCATGCTCAGCATGATGCTAGATCCTAGGGCAATACAAGAGAATTTCAAGACAAACGCCTGAGAAAAAATAATCCCAGGAGGTACGATTAAGTGCAGATAAGCAGAGTGAGTAGGACAGGTTAGCAGGAGGAGCCGCGGGAGAGTGCGCAGGATATGGAGGCTGCAGGGGAAACTGCCTGGGCAAAGGCATGGTGTCTGGAATGAACAGTGTGTGCAGAGATATGTAAGCCTGAAGTGTGTTGGGTACCACAAGGTAAATTTAGAGAGCATAGGATTAGATTATTGAAGCAAACAACATTGAGTGAATGCTTTCTGTATTCTGGAGCTTTACTACAATCTTATTTATGGTCCCCATCACTTAAAAGTAGGGTTTTTTATTCCCATTTTATGCATGTCAGAATTAGGATTCCAGCTTCTATCTGTCCAGCACGAAAACCCATCCTCTTTATACCACATTGGTTGGAACTGAGATCTGGGCTGTTTGGATTCTGAGCTGTAGGCAACTAGGACATTGGTTGGAAGTAATAGAATAAGTCAGTAACAGATTGGGGTTAAGGTAAATCAGTTGGAAGGAACTAGAGTCATTCCGATGTTCGGTAAGTTGCTTAGACTTAGCGGGGGTGGGTACAAAGGACTGAAAGAAGATTGATAGCATTTTCCCATTTATGGAAAGGCTATTTATTGAGTGCCTACTGTGTGCCTATGAGCAGGCACTGTGTAAGCACTAGAGAGAGCAGTGGGCATAACTAAGCCTTCCAGAAGCTGATGTAAACCTTTAGGAATTGAAGCCATGTGTGATTCTTGTTTTGTGCATACAGCTCTCATTGCTGATATCAGAAACCTGGCCTCCTCAAAATAAGGTTCAGAATTTAATGGCCAGCCCTCCCTATCCTGCTGAGCAGAGGACATGTGCTCCTTGCTGTGGGGACAATTAATCCTGTGTGGAAGAGCCAGCGCCCCAGTGACAGACAGCAGAAACCTTGGTTTCTGGAAATAACTTGAGTAAAGCCGCATCATCTACAGCAGATTAAATAAGTATGAGAAGGTAAGGAAATGCAGGTGAACTGGGGAAAAGTATGACCCCTAAAGATTAGGTTTTCTTGAATGAACGTGACTTGAATGTATCCTGCAGAGACGGTGGGAGAGGAGGCCGTTGCCAAAGTGGAGGGGAATCTCTCCTTCCCCCAACTGTTCAGAGGCCATAGCCAGGGAAGCCAGTTTTAAAGGAAGCCCGTTGAGCCCTGGTTTGTTTCTGACTTTTAAATCCTCAAAAGGAATGAATGTTTAGTTTCCAGTTGACAATACTCAACGTAGTGCTGCCCCCAGCTGGAAGCGTTTGTTCAAACAAGGAAGGAAGCATACAGCTCAGAACCGGTTATCCATCCCACTTGTTTGGGTGAAGGAAAGTGAAGGGATGCCACATGCACCCCAGACCTGAGCACACTTCTCCACATCATCTCAAGATTATGCAACTGGACCCTCATTCTCTGAGAGGGATACTGAGGGAGTTTTGCAGATAGAGGTACCAGAGCTGTGTTGCAGGCAGAACCAGGGCAGAGAACACGTGCATTGCTCCCTGGTTTGGGACAAGCTGGTTAGAACCCTGCCTCCTCCCTCCAGCCATGCATAGGGCCATACTGCCTTCTGACCCTCAACTCAGCACTCACCAGCAGTAACCAGGTGGCTCTGTCCACCAAGGAACTCCAACTAGCATCAAAGTTTACCTTTTTAGGGCTCTTCTCAATTAGAGCTTCTGCCACTAGATTGCATATAAACCTTTTCCTAATCACTGCACCCAATCATGGGAGGAGCAAAACTGCCTTCCAAAAGGACAGTCAGGACACAACTGTTAAGAACTCCCTTAGCCTCTTTGGGCAGGTTCAGATTTGCATCAGTATCATGGCCATAAATGGAGTCACTCAGGTAATCCCCCAACTCCTGGATAGTCTCAGCTTTTGAGCCCTTCAGGAACCACCAAGCCCATCCACAGCTGTGTTTCCTGGCTCCTGACCTGAGCCTTTGAACTCAGACAAGGAACATTTACAGTGTACTAGAAAGCTCTGGTGTCCTACATAGCAGCATTGACACCCAAATACTCTGTAAACCTGACCAACTTTGCCATGCTCTTGACTCACTGACAAATGGTGCTGGCGTGATTTGGGGGAAAAGTAGCATGACTTCATCTCTCCTTTCCTCTATAGATGACATCTAACCCAGATCAGCTCTTTTGTACTACACAGAAGCAAAAGGGTTGTTTTCTGCGTGGGCACCTTGTAATGTGTGTGCCCTCTGGTCCAGTACCCCTACCTAGTCAGCCCTAGTTTTGGGAGATCTCAAACCACAGAGGAACAAGTTAGCACTACTATTCTTTACTATAGTCAAGTCACAATTGAAAATGCCCCTTGAGCCCTGGCCGGTTTGGCTCAGTGGTTGGAGCGTCGGCCTGCGGTACAGAGAGACCCGGGTTTGGTTCCCGCTAAGGGCACGTACCTCGGTTGCAGTTTGTCCCCGGCCCTGGTTGGTCGTGCGGGTGGCAGCCACTCGATGTGTCCCTTCACGTCGATGTTTCTCTCTCTCTCTCTCTCTCTCTCTCTCTCTCTCTCTTCCTCTCTCTCCCTCCCGCTCTATCTGAACAAAAAATGGAAAAATGTCCTCGGGTGAGGATAAAAAAAAAAAGAAGAAAAGAAAATGCCCCTTGATCTTGAGTCCCTCAGGTGACAGGGTGTTCTAATTAGCTCCTCCAGCCAGAACCTTCAGCCACGGCCTCCTCTCTCCCTCCTGGAGACTCCAGTTCTTTCTTTCTTACATCAGACTTGACAGCTTCCTTCCAGTTCCTTCACGGGTGAGGAAGAGCCATCACAAACAGGACATTATCAGCCCGGGGGAGAGCTGTGGATCCTGACCGCTCAGACAGCTGGCCTGCCATGTGTAGCACTCACATAGGTACAACCCTAAGTGTATATGTGATCAGATGGATATCTGGACCCAGGGTAGGGTGGGTAGCAGAGGGCCCTAGCTTTCAGGCTTACATCATGAAAACAAATACCT